AAGCTTAGGCGTATTAGCTTCCACTTTGTGTGGTTTAAAAATCAGTGCCCTGTCATTCTCCCTCTCATGCTCTCATTCATGCAGCCAGCATCCTCAAATTTCCACCTCACCCGAGTCACTCAGAGCACCATCAAAGCTCCTTAAGTCCAAGGGGTCCTGTCCTAAATCCTGTTGTCACTGGGATTCTGTTCTGCCATGATGAGTCATCGTATCTAATTGCCAAATGCATTAATTTTTCTATTGCAACAAATCATGTTCATTTCTTCCAAATTATCTCTCCTTATTGAACTACCTTTGTTTGTATTGGAAACATTTAGGAAATAATACTGGTATATGGGGATTCGACATATCACATTAGAGTTTGCATCCAAATATCCTGTCCCATTTGACCTCCAATCTCATTTTTACAGTACACATCCTATACATAACCCTTCTTTCAAGTTGACAAAAAAATGTGTTAAATCTTTAAAGAAAGTATTGCTAAGAGAAAGAGAATGAGGTGCAAGTTAGTTAGAAAAATTGTAGTATAATATTATATAACAAGTTATATTTATATACATTTATAACAACTTTTCCATGTCCAGTTATTTACAAATCAATACCTTTTACTTACTCCTACATAATGTTTGTCTAAACATCTGTCATGCCACCCTTATCTGAATTTTACTGCACTACAAACTTAAAGTATTTTCTTAAAGTAAAAAAACAAAACAAAGAAAGAAAGCGAAATTAATATATAGAAATACAATAAAAAAATTAAAAACTGCCAAGAAAGGTTTGCGCCCTTGGATTGTTTCTTATCGTTTGTCTTTTCAGTTTGAGCATGGCAATGCTCGACAATGGCAGAACAAAAAATTTGTCTTTCTCTTAACCATTTACAATTTGGACTAAATGACATAACTTAGGTGTGTGTTTATGTGTATGTGTGTTTGCAATTTGACTGACGCTGTGTGCAGTAGAGGCCAGTCCATCCTGGGCTGCACTTGCATTCTCCATCATAAGCACTGCAGTATGCTCCATTGTGGCAGTTACATGTATGGATGCAGTTGGGTCCCCAGTGACCAGTTGGACAAGCTACAAAATGTGATAATCAAATGTTAGTGCTTCATAACCAAGAATAATACAGGGCGGTAACATTATCATGCATATATAAATTGCAATATATAATTATTTCCAGAGTAAACCCACATTGAGAGCAGTCACTGCCAATCCATCCTGGATAACACTGACAGGAGCCATCAATAGGATGACAGGTTCCATTGTTTGTGCAGCTGCAGCTCTGGGCACACTTCTTCCCAAAACGGCCACTGGGACACACTGTATAGACATTAGAGGTGGGAATCACCATACAACTCACGATACAATATTATTGCAATTTTTAAAAATATTTTGCAATATTCAAATTCAACTGAAGAATTTGAAAGTAAATTAAAACAAAATATAATTTTACATTAAATAAAAACGTTTTAAACTTAATTAAAATAAAACATGTCTTAAATTAAAATAAGTAAACTGTCATGTTTATTGCTGCCATAAAAAAGTTAAACACATTTG